GGGAACAACAGCAACTCAGCCAGGAAGTGGTCGGCCACGTCACATGACAGAGCGGGGTCAGCGCATGCTGAAGCGTACAGTGCGCAGAAGTCGCCAACTGTCTGCAGAGTCAATAGCTACAGACCTCCAAACTCCATGCGGCCATCAGATTGGCACAACAACAGTGCGTAGAGAGCTTCCAAGTGTAAAGTTTGGGGGAGGGTTCAGGGGTTGGGCTTGGCCCCTTGGTTCCAGTGAAGGGAACTCTTAAGACATCAGCATACCAAGACATTTTGGACAATTTCATGCTCCCAACTTTGTGGGAGGAGTTTGAGGACGGCCCCTTCCTGTTCCAACATGACTGCGCAGTCTGCAATAGACACCCTCGGTCCGGAGCTGTCCCCTGCAGTACCTCTTCTTCACCACAAGTTGTCATCTCACTGACCCCCAATGTAAGGAACCGTGTGGGGCATTTATCAAATCCGGAGCAGCTGTGCATGGCAACCAATCAGCATCCACCTTTCATTTTCAAACCTTAGCTGAACAGACTGAAAAGAGAAGCTGATTGGTTGCCTTGGGCAACTGCTCCAGAATGTGCCTGCTCCAGTTTTGATAAATCCCCTCCCATTCTTCCCACTGACCACCAATGTAAGGAACAAAGACATACCACAAGCCCAGCACAGCACAATGGCAGCTGAATTCCGCCAGCATGTCCCTGCACCATGTCCAGGCAGCAAAAAGAAAATGGCAACGCCACCCATCAAAGGCATGATATCTCCCGTTGAAGTAAACAAAAGCAGTGCAGAAATAAAACTGACGCGTTGCATTACTGGCGACTCGCGGCATGTTACAGAAAAATATGATCTTTATTGAAACGAGTAAAGTAATTTATAGAAGGTCTGCTTCAAGTGTCAGTGCGTGGGCCTGTGGCCAATATACATGATTTTTGATCTTTATTCAACTGAGCCAACGCTACTGTAAGGGGGCGTGTCTTCAATACAACCAATCCCTCATCCATAGTACTACGGGATTATCCAGCAATACAAGTGATGGTTTCTGCTATAGCGGATCACTCCCTCAGCTGTTCAGGTAGAGGCGCCAAGAAGGGGCTCACCTTCACCCCGGGGACTGCCAGCACATTCACAGCTGAGACGGCATACGATGAAATCCAGCTAGTAAAACTTTTATTATTATTCCAGGACAAACTGACGCATTTTACTGAATTAAAGAATCAGCCCAGTGGTGACCCTTAGTCACGTGATAGTGCTTGGCCCAAGCAGTGTCCCAGGCGAGCAGGTCATGTGCTCCTTCACACCAGGTAGTGTTCCGAGCTATGAGAAAGGAGGGAGTGCAGGCAAGGGGAGTATAAGGAGCATAGTGGCAGGGGGGAACAAGGGGACATTGTCTCTTTAAGCTAGGGATGCACCCGTACCTTTTTTTGGTATCGAGCACCGATATTGTTTTTCGGTACTTGCTGATACCGAGTACCGGTGCCCAGATTATCAGGAAGTCGGGCGGCAGATCATGACCCGTCGCCCCCGGCTTCCCGATTGCCTGGGAAGCCGGTGTTCTGGCAAACACTGGCTACACTTGCTGAGACTGCCTTGCCGGGTGGCGAGTCATGAGGTGCTGTCCGGCTTGCTGATTGGTTAGGAAGCCAGGCTGCCTACCAACAGGTGACGCCAGCTGTGTAGCCAATCAGGAAACCGGGCGGCACGTCCTGACCTGCCTCCTGATTGGCTTAGGAAGCCGGCTTCACTTGTTCCTAGGCAGCCTGGCTTTCTGACCAACCAGGAACTCGGGAGGCTTGTCATTAGGTGCCACCTGATTGTCTAGGAAGCCAGGCTGCCTAGCAACAAGTGAAGCCGGCTTCCTAAGCCAATCAAGTAGCCATGGGGCGGATCATAACCCACCGCTTCCTGATTGGAAGGGAAGCCGGCTCCATCCTCCCTCTGCACTGCCGGCCAGAGTGAGATTTCCCTCTGACCGGAAGTTCCGGGATCGGAGCATTCGGGCCAGTACGAGTACTCGCCCCAAATACTCGGTATCGGCGCTGATACTGGTATCGGTGCACCCCTACTTTAAGCAAAGCACCACCTCATAGTACACATTTAATGTCCATATTATATTTATAATCACCGTCTGGCATTGGTAAAATAATAACCGTTGGATGCGTTTCCTTTCAGATGACGGTATGAAATGAGAACCATAAAAGCATGTTAGAGACGCACAAAACCCAACCGATGTAACCAGACACGCAGGGCTGCACCGCATGGTCTCCGTGTCAGAATGATCCAGCCCATGATTGTGACTGGACTGAGGGTCACCTTTGTTCACACTGCAGGAAAGGAAACCTTCGATATGGTCTGCGATGACATCATTTCCTGTCCAGACAGTTCCTTCTCCGTGCCCCGGCAGTCGCTGACCAGTTACTAGACGCGCCGCTTATTCCAAGAGCTCCTTGGTCTTTGAGGCCAACTGCTTGTCCATTTCTGCTGCTGTGTCATCCGACATCTGCTGGATCTATGAAAAAAAACAGGCTGGGTCAGACATGTCACACCAGCAGAAGTCGGGTTACTCCGGCTATCAGCTGTTGCAGGCCATTAAAGATCTATTACTTAGGGCTCATTCACTCGACTAGGGATGCGCCGATCCTGGTTTTTCGGTACAAGTAAAACATTTTTGGTACTCGCCGATACCGGAAGTCCTATTAAGGAAGCCGGGCGGCGTGTCATGACTCGCCGCCCGGCTTGCTGATTGGCCAGGAAGCCGGCTCCATGCTCTCTTGTCACCTGGAGCACGGAGACGGCTTTCTGGCTAATCAAGAAGCCGGGGGGTGGGTAATGGCTCACTGCCCCGCTTCCTGATTGGCCAACTTCCTGACCAAATTAGGAACATGCTGCCTGGCTTCCCGATTGGCCGGTAAGCCAGCTCCATGCTCCCTCGACACCAAGTGATGATGGAGCTGGCTTCCTGGCCAATCAGGAAGCCCAGGGGCGAGTCATGACACGCCTCCTGATTGGCCGGGAAGCCAGCTGCATGCTCCCTGGTGACGAGGGAACATGGAGCCAGCTTCCCGGCCAATCAGGAAGCTGGGCTCCATGCTCCCTCTTCACCAAGTGATAGGGGAGCATGGACCTGGCTTTCTGGCCAATCTGGAAGCCGGGGAGGCAAGTCATTAGCCACCTCCCGGCTTCCTGATTCACCAGAAAGCCAGCTGCATGCGCCATGGTCACAAGGGAGCATGGAGCCAGCTTCCCGACCAATCAGGATGCTGGGCGGTAAGTCATTACACGCTGCCCACCTTCCAGATACCGGAAGTTCCAGTATCGGGATAGGCATCGGGAGCATTTGGGGGAGTACTCGCCAAATACCCGGTATCTGCACCATACACGATATCGGTGCATCTCTACACACGACCATAAAAACAAATAAACGTTGGACCATATTTTACATTATATGCAATTCTTTGCACGGTGCAAAAGCACTATATTGAAGCCACCGAGAGTCCTTTGTTGCTAGGGTGTAGGTAGCTCGTTGCTGTCTAGGGTCCTGTGCTGGTAGGAAGCAGATGGCTTGAGCTGCCTTGCGTCCTTCATTGGTAAGACACAGGTGGCAACTTTCCATTTTACATCAGACGGCTCCTTGCTGCTTAGCGTCCTTCATTGCTAGGACGTAGGTGGCTCAAGCTGCCTTACACCCAGCAGAGCACATCTGCACCATATGTTGCATGCATGTAAACATTAGCACAAATGATACATACATACATACAGCAGATCATGGCTGGTCTGAGGGCCGGCGGGGTGCTGTGCATACCTTCCTGAAAACATCACAGCACCGTGCCTCAGTACTCCTCTCAAGAGCCCTTAGTCCTGATGCAAGCAGTGGGCTGTCTCCTGGGAGGAGTTATGCAAATATCAAAATGCCTTGATGCGGGGATGTCAATCCGGAGCAGTGAGCAATTATAGACATTTTGCATGCAGATTGCTCTGGGTAACGCCCACATGTGCTGCTGAGCCTACATGATTGACAGCTGAAAGGGGAGGGCCAGAACAGTCAGGCTGAGAAGGAAAACGCTATATGACGCTGGACGTCCTCCAGCCAGCACTAGCTGCAGCTTCTAATGCATACTGTGAGGAGCTCCCAGCGTGCAGTGACATCAGAGGAAGACATTTCAGTCCAGGAGAGGAGCCGGTACAACCGTGCAGGAGTTGCCTGCCGCTACATTACCTGCTTTTCTATCAGTTTTATGGTGTCCTCCGACACGCCGTCCTTGGCCTTTTTGACCTCCTGCACAGCCCGGGTGCGGCTCTTCCGTAGAGATTCCTTGGCTTTGTTGGTCAGTTGTTTTGCCAGCTTCACCAAATTCTCTCGGTGCTCCCGTGTCACCCTAACGTAAAACATAAAAGGAGGTATTAGAGAGAGATACAGACACGACATCTGGGTCATGTATGGTGTATACGGTACAACAGCGTCATTCTACCAACTTCCTGTGAGCCCCAGGGTGTCATGGCCCCACCCCCTTCCTGGGGTTGTATCATCACAGTACCATGCGGCCACAGTACAATGTACATTTGGACTACAGACCACCACCAAGCACTGAAGAAGAGGGCCCTGCATGGCACAAGCCCATGAAGAAAACATGAGTTGATTACCTGATAACTCTGTTTCCAGGAATCTTCCAGGACAGCCCATGAGATAAGGCTCCGCCTGCCTGCAACAGGAAACACATCAACCACATTTAAATAAATAGACCCCTCCTACCATCCCAATTCAGTAACCTCTAGAACCGAAGGCTACCAAACATTTCAAAGTATCCCCTGTAACATCAATACACGGATGTCCCCTGGCTACCAACCAAGGGCGGGAATCTGCTGTCCTGGAAGATTCCTGGAAACAGAGTTATCAGGTAATCAACTCATGTTTTCCCCAGTCATCTTCCAGGACAGCCCATGAGAGGATCAGTGAGGACAAATCTTACCTCCTAGGGTGGGACCACAGCTTGCAGGACCTTCCTGCCAAATGCCTGGTCTTGTTGGGTCATGAGATCCAGGTCTGTAATGCCTGACGAAGGTCTGGAAACTGGACCACGTGGCTGCTCTACAGATCTGGTCGGGAGTAGCCCCTGCTCGCTCTGCCCATGAAGTGGCCCATGCTCTAGTGGAGTGTGCTGTGAGCGACCCTGGCAACGCCAAACCCTGAGCGTTGTAAATCGCAGCTATGGCCATTTTAATCCACCTAGCAATAGTGCTTTTAGTGGCCCTGTTCCCTCTAGTGGGACCCCCAAATAGTATGAAGAGACGAGTCGACCGTCTCCAAGGTTTCGTGACCCTAAGGTACTCCAGAACGCATCTGCGTACATCAATGCCCTGCCATTCCCTTTCCCCAGCAGTGGTAGGGTTAGTTGCAAACGAAGGAATGACCACCTCCTGAGTCCTGTGGAAGGTGGACACCACCTTCGGCAAAAAAGCCGGGTCTGGCCGTAGCACAATTTTATCTGCCATAATGGTGCAGTACGGGTCAGCCATGGAGAAGGCTTGAATCTCGCTCACTCTCCGAGCAGAAACCAACGCTACCAAGAGGGCCGTCTTCACCGTCAGGTTGTGGATGGAACACTCCCCCAGGGGTTCGAAAGGCTGTTTGAGAAACCCCTGCAATACCACCGAGAGATCCCAATTCGGCACTACCTTACCCCTTGGGGGTTTCATTCTTACCACAGCTCGCATAAACCTTTTTATGAGTGGTTCCTCTGCCAGCCTAATATCTACAAAATTAGACAAAGCCGTCACCTGTACTTTCAGTGTACTACAGGAAAGACCCTTGTCCAGACCCCCCTGTAGAAAATCTAAAACCAACGGCACCGTGTCGGCCGTCGGTCTACCTCGGCTGTTGTACCAGCTTGAAAAGACTCTCCACACTTTCAGGTAAATTGCAGCTGTGACTGGTTTTCTACTGTGCAGCAATGTGGAGACAACCTGTGCGGATAATCCTTTATTCATCAGCACCTCCCTCTCAGAAGCCACGCAGCTAAATTTAAAGACTGTACTTGCGGATGGTTCACGGTGCCCTGTACCAGCAAGTCTGCCGTCGGCGGAAGAAGCAGCGGCCCCTCCACACAAAGCTCTAGGAGTGTCGTGAACCACGGCCTCTTCTGCCAGTATGGCGCTATCAAAATTAACATCAGCCTCTCCCCTCTGAGTTTCCGAAGCACATTCGGAATCAATTGTAGTGGGGGAAATGCGTAACCCAAACGGAACCTCCACGGGTGCGCCAAAGCGTCTACCCCTAGAGCACCGTCGTTCCTGGAGCGGGAAAAAAATTGTTCCACCTGCTTGTTGTTGGCAGCTGCGAAGAGGCCCACCTCCGGGCAGCCCCACAAGCTGGTGATCCAGGCAAACGTCCTCGCATTCAGAGACCATTCGGACCTGTGAAGCTCCGTTCGGCTGAGCGAGTCTGCCAGTTCGTTCAGGCTGCCTTTGATATGTCTCGCCATCGGGGATAAGAGGTTGCATTCTGCCCATGCCAGAATCTCCGTCGCCAATGCCATCAGCCCCGGCGAGCGCGTACCGCCCTGCTTGTTTATATAAGCTACCGCCGCGGCATTGTCCGAGGCCACCGCTACATGGTGGCCCGCTAAGACCTCCCGAAACTGGCAGAGAGCTAGCCCTATCGCCTTCAGCTCTCTCCAGTTTGACGACTTGACTCTGCTTGTGTGCTCCCAGGTATCCTGCCAAATGTGCTCCAGGCAATGGGCTCCCCAGCCCCAGGCACTGGCGTCCGTTGTCACTACCAACGGCGCAGGCTGGCACCACAGCCTGCCCTCTGAGAGGTGTTGACCGTCCATCCACCACAGGAGGGACTGCTTGGCCTCCTCCGTGATGTGGACCACTTTGTCTAGGTCTTGCTGTCGACTTCCCCAGGCCCTCAAGAGCCAATTTTGCAAAGTTCTCGAATGGAACTGCGCCCAGGTAACCGCTGGGATAGCGGACGTCATAAGCCCCACCACTCTCATCACTGACCTGACTGATACTGCACCCTGCAGTCTCAGCCTCAGTGTTTCCTCCACCAGTAGTGACACCTTTTCCCCTGGTAGAGTAATGGTCATTTCCTGGGAATTGATCCAATATCCCAAGAACTTTACCGTCTGTGCGGGGACTAGTTGTGACTTTTCCCTGTTCACTAGCCAACCCAGACTCTCCAAGTGTTGGATCGTTAATTCCAGCTTTTGCTGGAGAACAATTGCTGATGGGGCAAAAAACAAGAGGTCGTCCAAATAAGGGATGACCCCTACCCCCCGAGACCTCAGGGGGGCCAGCGTCTCTGCCAACAACTACTACCAGCCAGTAAGTGTCTCCACTGCACCCACATTAGAGCCTACACCCTACATGCCACCAAGAGGGGGTGCCGTACACCGCTCAGGGTACACCCTTGGCCAACCACTGCACACCGGGGGGGTCACCATCTGGAGCCACTCACGTACAGGAGGATGTTTGCCCTCCCTGAATGACGGAGGGGAACCTAGGCCTAGTCTCGGATGGGGGTCCGACAAGGGATCCCTGTATGCGCTGCAGCAGGAAATCCTGGAGTAGGTCCCAACGCATATCAGGGTTAGGCTCTGCCCTGAGGCAAATAGAAAAACGAGCCCTGAAAACAACAAACATTACGATGTGAACCTGTGTAGCCGGAGGAAACACAAAAAAACTGAATTGGGATGGTAGGAGGGGTCTATTTATTTAAATGTGGTTGATGTGTTTCCTGTTGCAGGCAGGCGGAGCCTTATCTCATGGGCTGTCCTGGAAGATGACTGGGGAAAACATGTATGTAAAAAGGTTATGTGTGCAAACAAACATACACGTGGGGGGTGTGGACTGGGGACCAGGGGCTGCTTGTAGAAGTAGGATTTAAAGCAGAACATTTTCTTAACCCGTGCAGTGGGGCTACCCCCGCACTGCAAGGGTTAACTAGGATCAATACTCACCCGATCCTCAGAACCAACTTGCTCTTAGATAGGTTCCGGGAGCCGCTCTCCCCCTCCAGTGCAGCCGTGTAAGGATCCTTGAGTCATCTCATTCAATACAGTGTATAGGATGTGAGGACGCTGAGGGACATACCATTGCTGCAGTGGAGAAGACAGGCTTCAGGGACACTAACCCTAATGATGACCCTCACTGTGTCCCTAACACTGACCCTAATGATGACCCTCACTGTATACCCAACACTGACCCTAATGATGACCCTCACTGTATACCCAACACTGACCCTAATGAGAACCCTCACTGTATCCCTAACACTGACCCTAATGAGAACCCTCACTGTATCCCTAACACTGACCCTAATGATGACCCTCACTGTATACCCAACACTGACCCTAATGATGACCCTCACTGTATACCCAACACTGACCCCAATGATGACCCTGACTGTATACCCAACACTGACCCTAATGATGACCCTCACTGTATCCCTAACACTGACCCTAATGAGAACCCTCACTGTATACCCAACACTGACCCTAATGACGACCCTCACTGTATACCCAACACTGACCCTAATGAGAACCCTCACTGTATCCCTTCATGGTATCCCTTATGGTCAGCTTGCACTTAGACCAGTCCCTTCCACCTTGCTCCCCCTCCGCTGCAGCAGTCTAAGCTCCCGTGGTCATCATCCTCTATGCACAGTGTATAGGACATGACGACGCCAAGGGACACACCATCGCTGCAGCGGAGGAGGGACGGGTCTAAGAGCAAGCCAGCTGAGGATCAGACGAGTATAAATTCATTATTTATGCACATAGACAAAAACGGGCACTTAACCCTTGCAATGGAAGGGTGGGGGGTGGGGCTGAGTATGGTAACCCCACTCCAAGGGTTAAGATAAATGTTTCCCCAGAGTTCTGCTTTAAATCTCCCAATTTTCAGCAGGAGGAGCCTCACTCCCAAGTGTTGCCCTGGACAAAGATCAGAGAAGACATGTTTCTAGCTACTCACTGCGGAACGGGTACCCGGATGAGAGAGCCATCGAGCTCTGGGTTCAAGTTCATCTGACTCTGGCTCAAGGCATTCACCACTGCCGGGGCGCTCTATACAGGAAAACACAACATGCATGTATGAACTCAAAGCTAAAGGGTACGCATATAATACCCTCCCTTGCCCCCCCCCCCCCCCCCCCTGACC